AACGTTAAAGACCACTAAATCGATAATGGCACTTGTCATGATAGCTCTTCAACCTTGTGTGACTAGGTGATTTTGAAGAAAACAGTCATGTTAAAGCAAATAGGATTATTCAATGACTATTTACTATTATTGGACTTTTTGAAAAGAGGCCTTGAGAGCATGCAGTGAAATTGGTATTGTTTTTTTTATGTATAATTTTTTTTTTCGTTTTTTTTTTTTTTAATCTGTCGTTTCAATTTCTATATTGTAATTTCTGGCATTCGTGTCTCGTTCGCATTTTTTTTTCCCCCTGTTTCTTTGTCTCTTCGTTTGTCTGCAGTCTCTCTGTCTGGCTGTATTTCTCTACTTTCTCCCTCTCATTTCACTCTTCCTTTTCCTTTTCAATTCTCTATCTCTCCTATTTTCTACCTTTCCCTCTCCATCCCTCTCTCCCTTCCGCCACATTTTTTTTCTCTCTCTCCTTTTACCCCTCTCTTTCGTCCTCACTCTCTCGCCTTTCACTTTCTCTCTCTTCCTCTCCTTTCGTAACCCTTCCCCCCTTCTCCTCCGTCTCTCTTTCTCTCACCTCCTTTCTTAAAGTCCCCTTTTCGCGCCTGCTCCCCTTCCCTCTCCTCACTTCCGGGGTATCCGTTAAGTGTCCAAACAGCCGCACCGAACGAGGAGACAGAAATATTTAAATCTCCACAGCTACACACGTTTATAGGGAAGATTAGGGGCGGGGGAAGAGAGGGAAGGGGAGGAGAGAAAGGAGAGGAGAGAGACGAGAGAGGCAGAGAGAGAGGAGAGGAAGAGAGGAGAGGGAGAGGAGGGGAGAGAGACAGAAGGGAGAAGGAGAGGGGAAGAGAGGAGAGGGGAGGAGGGGAGAGGAGAGGAGGGAGAGAGAGAGAGAGAGAGAGAGGGGGAGAAGAGGGAGGAGGGGAGGGAGCGAGAGAAGGGAGAGAGGGAGAGAGAGAGAGAGAGAGAGAGAGAGGGTGAGAGAGAGAGAAGAGAGAGAGAAGGGAGAGAGAGAGAGAGGAGAGAAAGAGAGAGAGAGAGAGAGAGAGAGAGAGAGAGAGAGAGAAGAGAGAGAGAGAGAGAAGAGGAGAGAGAGAGAGAGAGAGAAGAAGAGGGAGAAAGGGGAAAGAAACAATAGACGTAAAGGGGGACGAGACCCGCCAGGACTCAGGAAATGCCCGCAGGCGACGAGCGCGTGTAAATATGCAGGACTCCGCCATCACTGAACGCACGTGAATTGTCAACACCCGCTGGATTCTCGCCCTTCCGCCGCGGGTGCAGACGGGCGAGAATCCAGCGCCCCCGGACCGAGGTTGGACCGTCGATCCGGCATTAGGCAGAATGGCTGATATTTTGAAGGTGTTTTTAAATTACATTCATGTGGAGGCTGTATTAAATGTCAGGCCGACTCAAGGGCGGATATGCCGGCCTGTTACCTCACACACGTCGGGCGGGAGAATATGCACACTCACGCACGTACAGGCGCACGCGGGGATGTGAGTGTGTAACGGATACGTAGGCACTGGAATGGTTTTTACACGTTGATACGCACGCATGTACGCACACGAAAATCAAACCCACACACACACACACACAACACATTATATATATATATATATATATATATATTATATATAATATATATAATATATATATATTATATGTGTGTGTGTGTTGTGGTGTGTGTGTGTGTGTGTGTGTGTGTTGTGTGTGCACGTGTGATTATATATATATATATATATATATATATATATATATTATATATAAAATATATATTATATATATATATATATGTATATATATATATATATATATATATATATATATATATATATATATATATATAATATATATATATATATATATATATACATAACCACATATATATATATATATATAATATATATATATAATATATATATATATATATATATAATAACATCCACACACACACTATGTTATATGTATATATATGCACGTACAAAACATTCATGAATATTCACACTGTACGGACAACAAGTCTCCTCATTCGTATCCGCCAGCATGTCTACAAGAGAAACTATTTCGGTTCATCTTGAGTATAATCTGTCGTTTAAATCGCAATTAGCGTTTAAATACTGCCTTAAATGTCACTGCCAACACCAGCTTTCTCGCGCGCGCCCGGCCGTCTCCCTGGCACTCTCCCTCCCCCCCCCCTTCTCCCCTCTCTCTCTCTCTCTCTCCCTTCCCCCTCGTCTCCCCAGTCTTCCTCCCTTCCCCTCCTCTCTCTGCCTCTCTCTCCTCCTCTCTACCTCACCCCATCCCCGTCATATGCTTTCCTTCGTCTTCTCTCTCTATCTCTTTCTCTTTCTCTTTCTCTTCTCTTTTCTCTCTTCTCTCTTCTCTCTCTCTCTCTCTTCTCTCTCTCTCTCTCTCTCTTACCTCTTTCCGTCTTCTTCTATGCTTATCCTCCCCCTTCCTTCTTCTGTTCTCTTTTCTACTTCTATCACTCCTCCCTTTCCATCCCCTTTACCCTCCCTATTTCCTTCCCCCCCCTTTCCCTCTCCTACTTCCCCTTTCTACCCCCCCCCCCCCCCCTCTTCCCGAATGTCAACGTCGCCAGAAAAAAAAAAAAAAAATCCGAGAGCATCGTTATTTAAACAGAGAGGCAACTTAAGATGCTATTAAAACCTTGAAAGACTAGCTAGTGCTAATTCTTCTCGAGGACTTTAGCTTAAGAGGGAAGGGGGGCGAGAAGGAGAGGGAGGAGAGGGGAGGGGGTGAGGGGATGGGGGAGGGGGAAGGAGAAGGAGGGAGGGGCTAGGGGGTGAGGGGGGAGAGGGAAGGGCGAGAAGGAGAGGGAGGGAAGGGGAGGGGTGAGAGGACGCGTGGGGAGAGAGGGAGAAGGGGAAGGAGAGGGAGGGCGAGGGGAGGGGGGGTGAGAGGACGGGTGAGGGGGAGGGGGGAGAGAAGGAGAAACGGCGAAAGTAGTAGATATCTGTGGTTGACGTTATAGATGAGGGGAGGGCTAAAAATACACACACAGACACACACACCAGATACATGTGCGAGTGTGCGTCTGTTTGTGTGCATATATCCACGTGTGCTGCATTTGTGTGCGCGTATGAAAACCCGCCGCAAGTGAGACAATTCATTCGTTGTAGTGACTGTTGGCACTGTCACACTTTCCCTCCTGCCAACCCCTTGACCTGCCACCGTATCCTGACACCGTGCCACGCCCTTCCCGCTTTGACCTCGCTTCGCTGGGGGATTTGCATAATAATAACCCCAGAATTGAGATCAGATCACGCATGTGCACGCGACACACTCACACACATGCACACGCACGCACACACACATACTCTCTCTCTCTCTTTCATTCTCTGTCTGTCTGTCTGTCTGTCTGTCTCTCTCTCTCTCTCTCTCTCTCTCTCTCTCTCTCTCTCTCTCTCTCTCTCTCTCTCTCTCTCTCTCTCTCTCTCTCTCTCTCTCCTCCTCCCTCCTCCCTCTCTCTCTCTCTCTCTCTCTCTCTCTCTCTCTCTCTCTCTCTCTCTCTCTCTCTCTCTCTCTCTCTCTCTCTCTCTCTCCTCTCCTCCCCTCCCTCCCCCTCTCCCTCTCCCTCCCCTCTCCCTCTCCCTCTCCCTCCCTCTTCCTTCCCTCCCTCCCTCCCTCCCTCCCTCCCTCTTCCCTCCCTCCCACCCTCCTCCCTCCCTCCCCTCTCTCTTAAACAACACACATACAAACACAAAACCAGACACAGACACACAAGAATAGAACTGATTCAGGAACGGCTGTTCAACCCTGTAAGAATCCCTGGTTTTTGCTTATTGAAGCCGATAACACGTGGAAGAGTCCGCGAGCAGGTACAGAAATGTTCTCTTGAATAAGAAATATCAAGAACTGAATATCTATTTATTTATCTCTTTGAGTTAGTTGTATATATGTGTGTGTATATATATATATATATATATATATATATATATATATATATTATATATAGAATAGATAGATAGATAGATAGATAGATAATAGATAGATAATAGATAGATAGATAGATATAAATAAATATGTATGTATGTATGTTTATGTATGTGTATGATGTATGTGTGTGTGTGTGTGTGTGTGTGTGTGTGTGTGTGTGTGGTGTGTGTGTGTGCGTGTGTGTGTGTATGTGTGTGTGTGCGTGTTCGTACGTGCGTGTGCGTATGTATGCGTCATTGTATGCATGTATTTACGCACGAATGTTTATTAAGTTTCCCCGTCACTGATATTCTTGGCTGATTAACTTAAACTAACTTAAATTAACTTAAGAAATAATGGCAAGTCTTATTCACCATCATCACTTAGAATTAAGTTCGCCAACCTTATCATAATTACTACTTTTATTGCCTTCGTATAAAAATGCTATTCAATTATTCACTCATTACTAATAAGTGTCTTGTTTATTCGCTTTCATTACGTGCGTTTATTACTTTGTATTTTCATAATTTGTTATATTTTCCTCTGTTTATTTTCTTCTTACGTTCTTCCCTTCTTTTCTTTCTCGTCTTTTCCTCCTTTTTTTTTGTCTTCCTCCTTCTTCATTTCACTTATGCTTCTTTTTGTTCTTAATTTCTTCTTTGCCCCTTCTATTCCCTTTTCTCGTGTTTTCCTTCTTTTCATTATTGTCTTGTTCCTATGCTCCTTCTTTTTTCTTCTTCTTCTTCTCCTCCTCCTTCCTCTATCTTCTTTCCCCTCCTTCCTCCATCTTCTCCTGCTATTCCTCCTCCTCCTCCTCCTTTTCCTCCTGTTCCTCCTCCTCCTTCCTTTTCCTCCTCCTCCTCCTCTCCCTCTCCCTCCCCTCCTCCTCGCTCCTCCTCCTCCTCCTTTTCCTCTTTCTCTTCTTCCTCCTCCTCCTTCCTCCTTCCTTCGTCCCCACGCCCCTCTCTTCCTAACCAGCTATTAAGAGCCATCAACGTGATTTACACAAGTCTAATCAGATTATTAAGACGGTGTTCTTCGGCTTCTTAAGTAACTCAATGACGAGT